GGGGGGTTTGACGTGTGTGACACGACGTTGAAAGACCAAAATGTGCACAAGCTGTTGCCAATACTAAATTATCCAGTTTAGTCAAGTTTATTCCGTAATCAGTATTGCCATCCTAAACCGATTTGGTGTCAAATTCTGGTGATAGTCAAGATTTGCCAAGTTAAGGCATCTCAGTGGTAGAAACGAGACCAGGCCTATTCATAATTTCTTTACATAAAAGTAAGTAGAGAAAATTAATAGAAGATGAAATGAAAGACGAACTAAGCGAATATGGCTAAATTTCTAAAAGAATTATGTAATTTGTTTATAATTGACCAGTGTGGCTAAAGAGACGTGTTTCAACTTTTCATAATTTTATAGCATTGCCTATTATCACTTCTTTTAACTCATTAAAAAATGTCATTTCCACTGCAAACACATTTATATACCTCATTATTCAATATGGGGCATATATCAAAATGTAATTTTTTAATTTTTTGAAATATTTTTCGTATTTTTCTATCAGAAAATGATTCAATTCTTCGCCAGTACGTCAATGATTAGTGATTTTGTTAATTCTTTTTAGGGTATATTAAAATCTATTATCCAATAGTAATTTCTCAAAGAAACAAATTTTTTCTTTTCTCTTACAGTTTATTTCGCATTATTTTGTTGAGCAAAGCATTTCCTGCAATCATTGCCATTATCCTCTCTCTTTACGGCCTCCCCCCCCCCCCCAAAACGTCAAATCTCTACAACAGAGAATAGGGGGTAAAAATTGAACCCTTCTATTAAATCTACTTAAATTATTCTCCTCAGATAAATGTAGCAAAAACTAGGGACAAAATTTGAATAAAAAGAATTTTATTGATGTTTTGAACATGGTCGGAGTTAAATTACACTAAATCGGCTTTAACGTTAATTCGACAGCTAATCATTTGAATATTCGACTAAATCCAATAGAATAAAGAACATAACCTGGTCTATGATAATGTGCTCTAAAAATTTAATTTAATTACCTTGATCAATTCTGTCTGCAATAACAGTGTCAAATGATTACAATACAATGTAGTTACACTTATTCCATGTGTCGGCTGAAATTTGGGGCACCTAATCAGTGAGAGGACTTATTTACTGAGTTTAGTCTGACATGCTTTTTTAGTAGTAAAAGAGTGAAAGGCTATGTTTTCGATGCAACCAAATGAAACCCATAAACTTCAGACCTCCTGTATTGGTTTATTGGTTTATTGGTTACTGATTTTTCATACTCTCACCAAGATATGTAAGACGTCCACTGAAGCTAATTCCACTTAGCCAAAAGGCTTATCGTTTTTTATTTACTAGTTTCTATGCAGGCAAATTTAATTTCTTAATAAAAAACATTGCTTGAACTCCAGGTCTTTCTAACAAGTAAATAGTAATGAGCTTCAGCTGAAGGTTATGAAACTTTGCCAAGTAGTTATTGTGTTTAAAGCAATTTGAATGTCCTTCAATTAGCCCAAATTCCTAAACCTAACTCAAAGTTCGACCCTACAAGTTAACACATCCAAGCAGACGTACAAAAAAGAAAAAAAGTTGATAATCTAATTTCTTAAAAAACGACATTTCATTGTATCCAACAGTGTTAGAGGAATCTTTAAGCTAATTGAATTATCCAAATAAGATAGCAATTAGCCGGGGCTTAAGAAAACCAAAATTCTTCCCTTAGACTCAGTTACTTGATAAATTTGATGCGAAAAATTATAAAATTGTAAATTTGATCAAAAACACAGTCCATTCCTCCGTCTCCGTCTCTCGCTAGTTCCTGCAGTGATACGCATAGCCTCTAAATTTAACTCTCTTTCAAATATCTTTTCTGTTTATGGGAGAAGTTGTTAGTTGCCTTTGTTCAAAGAGAAATAGGAAAGGATTTGGTATATCTTCGAACGAATAAAGTTATTTAATGCACCCCCTATTAATTTCGTCTGCTATTTCTTCCCTCCTGCCAATTGCTATCCTGTGTGTTTACTTGAAGTGCTCATTAAAATGTCCTCGCAGGAGTTCATAAAATAAAAATAATCCCTAATAAATTCATCAATAATCTAAGTGCAAGGAGAATGCCATGGGGGGGGGGGGGTTATTTAGAGTAAACAGTTTAAGAGGTGAAAACAATTTGATCCGGAAGGGTAAATTAAGCTAATGGTAAGTAATAAATGGGAAGACGGGTTATTGACCTGTCAAATTAAATTTATAAAATCAAAATCCGGAAAATTTTGTTATTGAGTTGTTTTTCTTTGCTATCAACCGATCACTGGCTCATGCTTACACTCTCCCCACCGCCCCCCCCCCCCCTCCCTTTAATAAACCCATGGATAATAAAAGTTTACAAAGTGCTTTCAGGCGATATATAGTCAAAGGACACATTAAATGACTAATTACTAACCAGGAAACATCCTTGAGGTAAAGTTATATTGAGTGAAAGGTGTATATGGACGATGTACTAAGAAGCAGGTAAGAGTGAGAAGAAGCGGACATCTGTGCATTATAGCCGCAACTCTACCTTGCAGAATGTAACATACAAATTGGTGTATAGGGAGATCCAGTTGTCCACTGGTTGCCCACTCTGGCTGATGAGTTCGCTAGCTTAGTCTACTTCAAATGCTTCAGTAACAAATTCCGTTGTTGATTACATAATTGTGAAGTTACACACTAATCTCAGTACTTGTCATAAGTCTCATTTATCGAAGAAAAACGAAACGTGCGTATTCATTTGCATTTAATTTTTCAAGGGCAAGTAATAATACTGCCAGAGATCTACAATTAGTCTTAATAACTTGTCATCAGCTGCTTACTGGAGCACTTTGGGGGCAGATAAAACTTCTAATAAATAATAATTATTATAATAAATCACTAATACATACAGCTGGCGCTAATCCCAAATCATTTCGTTAACAAAAGTAGTGAGGGAGGGGTGGGGTGGGGAGGGGGGTTCGGGTGTGGTAAACATTAACTGTTTTTTTCTAAACATTTCTCCCAGCTCTTGCTTACTCTCCACTCTCTCGCTCTCTCACACACACACTCTCTGTTTTCCTGAGTGCAATTAGGGACAGTGATTTGTACTTTGCCTGATCCGTTTTTTTCCACTCTTCGGGTTGAATCACTTGAATTAGAAGCATTAAAAACCAAGTTGAGTGCTATAAAATGGGCGAAAATGGCAAAATTGTGGCTAAATAAAATTGTTGGTTAAATGAAATTCGAACGCCGGTAAAATACATTAATGGCCACTAAAGAGGACATTTTTTATCATGATTCAATACTTTTCAAGCTGGTATTGGATAAATGAGTAAATAACTTTATATTGGCTTGAAATATTATAAACGTTTAGGTTGAACAAATAAGTGAACTCGGAACCCAAATGGTAGAAATGCTCCAATAATGTCTGTGAATCTGGCCTCAAATCCCGTCATCTCTTCTATTTAGACTGATTGATGCCGGTTGTACATATCCCTCTCTAACACAAATTTGAACTGTTTTGTTAGTAAGACAGTGGTAACGACAAAAGACTTCCTATTCGAAAGCGGATCAAGACGCGAAGGTCCTAAGACTATTGGGGTAGCAAACGAATCTCTCGGGTTTTATAAGCATCTGGATTTGATTATCAAAATTTGTAGTTTTTTCACTTCTTAGACCACAGCTCGCCTTCGGTAGGGCCTTGTGGCTAAATAAATCCTCAATAAAACACGTAGTCCAAAGAGAGTGTAAGTAACTCATATTTGAGGACTTTATAAGATGGCTAAAAATTCTATTTTCCATTACTGAGAGGCCTGGTTTGTTGCTATTAATTAACAGTGGTGAAATCTTTTAATAACGCTTCGTAATTCATTAGTAAATTTAACTGATAGTTTTGGATGCCCATTTAAATTTCACTTTTAACCTAGCTCACTACTCAAGTATTTTACATGTTAATAGCCACTATATTCAATAAAAGAGCTGTGTACACATGGGCAATAAGCCAATGGATAAAAATTCAACACTTGTACCGACACTATGCCGTGGAAAAATCGCGTTGGATACAAATTGTGGTGGTCATTTCCTTAGGACAAATAAATTTGATCATTCAAGGACGTGTCCAAGACATTTTCATTCCATAAACTTCTTCGTTTTTCCTACTGTTTATTGCTTATTTTGTCTTGATCTTTGCCTCCTAGTCTCAGAACCTAAACATTTCTATTTCAAGCCTCACTTCATTCGAGACTTTGAGATTTGTGGAAGAAAGCGGAGTATCAGATGTCTTCAGATTTAGCATGCCTAAATCTATGTGCCATGGAAGAATTGGAATTGCGTTTAATTCATAAGATAATACGCGTTTAGAATAATTTTACACACTAAAAGAACGGTTTTGATGATAAATATGCAATATTGAGTTCTTATTATCTCTTTTTTTTAGCATCGTGAGAATTTTGAAAATAAATCAAATTACAATGAAACGAATTCATTTAATCAAATTAGTTCGTTTCAAGGAATAAGAAATGTGCATCAAATCACAGCAATACATATCGATTTAAGTGTGGATGCAAAAAAGGGTACCAAGATCACTCGGAGGATTGAATGGCTTGACTGTGGAGCATTTGGTAGAAATGGGAGTTGGGATTCTGAGCCAAATCCTTTGGGTCACCAACCTCAACAATACGACCGAAGCTCATCACCACGACCCGAGAACAGCAGCTCAACACAGTTGAAATACGATGTGCTACCAGAATAACTGTAGATTTGGCAAACTCATTGTTGAGCAGTTCCTGCCATCATTATACAAGGAAATTAAAGAGACAGTTTAAGCCCAGTAAAGCAATCCCATCGTATGTTTACTTGAGATACACTTAATGTATATCCAACATCCAATTGCGTTATGCGTTTTACAGAGATGTTGTGGTAATAATAAGTTACATTACCCTCGCATTTGATTTTAAACCCCTTCTCGAGGGTGTGATTATTGAGATTTTGTATACTAAATCAGTGCCATTTGCTCATGCGAAGCCAAATAGTATATTTTAAATTCAATTAAGATTTCCAGGCTAGACGGACTAGTTAATTATTATTGATCTAATGAGAATCGGATCTCAAGGATTTTCTACATTGTTATAACACAGCGACCTCTGTATACAGTGGCACAGAGCATTCGTAGATGTAGATGTGCAACTGCTAAGGCGGATTTTCGGCAATTCCCCATAGGAACATGTTTAGGATACCTCAACTCTAACCAAACCAAGTTTTACTATTACATTTTTTTCCCGAATCCGGAAGATTCATATAGTTTCACAAACGTGGGTGCTAAAATCAAACGACTTTTATATAGACCACAACTTTGGGTCATCTCGATTGTAGAATTGTTCTCATTCTCAAGTGCTATCTAGTAAGCTGTACAATGTACTTTTCATGAAGCTGTGCTTACAAAAAATACTATCTGTTGATCAATATAGACACGTTAGCATTTCGACTATTCCCTACCATTCAAAGCCCATTTATTGATCACCGCGAATTTGTGCAACTTCTATGTCTTTGTGATTTGTCAGTTCCTAGGGGGGGGGGGGGGGGCAAGCACTTCATAGTTCCTTCAAAATACCACAGTAACACAGTAAATTAGCTGGCGTATTTAAAAGGGCGAATTAACCCCAGCCCCCTTCCGCACTTTTCCCGCCAAACTTAAATTTGATACTAGATCTAAACGCAAGAATTTTGGTCATAAAATTCAAGGAAAGCAATCGGCTAGACACATAAATAGGGATTAATTAATGAAAGGTTGGGATATTAAGTCCCTAGGAGAAATTGTTATTTTCTCCTTAGTAGCCAAGGCGCGTAAGCTTATTACCATCTTCATTAAGTCAGCTACCTATTCTTCGGCAGCAGGTAAATGGGGGAGAGAGAGAGAGGGGGGGAGGGGAGGGGAGGGGAGGGGAAGGGACCTATAAGGATTGCACGCAAACCACTCCTAGACAATCAGAGTAACGTGTAAATGGTGATCGCGTAGGTAAATAAAAATAGATTTTAAAGCCTCTCCTACTGGCTCATAAAAAAGGGGTAAAGCAAACCAATCAGACATCCCACCCAGAGTACTACCTTTTAGTACTAATTAACAAATGGAGAGATTTCATAGGCACACACACACTACCACAAGTAGAAAGTGACTAAACGTTTCAATTCACACTGGTAAAGATAGATATTGGCAAACGTTTTTCTTTTTAGAAAATACGCACCTATAATTTAACTAGGCTGAATTTATTCTTAAACAACAAAAGCACTTAGCTGAAACTATTACATTTAGACATATATCTTCAAATGGCCGAATTAAATGACTGAATTCACGTCAGCCGATCCAATAGGAGTACGAATCACTTATAATTTACAGCTTGAAATGTTTACAGACTGTGTATTGAAGAAAATTATGGAGGTGGGGGGAACCTGGATCACCCATTTTATAGACAGGCTGAAATGGATATGTATCCCCCCCAAACTTTGAACTGTGCTCATAAGATCTCGATAAGTGGCAACAAATTGCAGAGAATAGTTAATTTTTACAGTCATTTTAAATACCTCAAAAAAAATAGTAAAAGTAACCAGATTTTCCGATTAGTCCCAAGTGGTAAACTTCACTAACAGGAGGAAATCAAGGCAAGCTTTTTCACGAATTTCCCGACATATACGCCCCAACTTTCACATCCGCCCATTCTTTTGATTTGCGTTCTCAGCACACCACCATAAAGCCAGAAACACAGAATGGTTGGCTTAAGTACCACTTTACATTGGGGGGAAAATCAGTCGGTCAGTTACTTCTAAATAATTCTTGAGGCCTTGATTCCCCCCCCCAAAGTTGGGGGGGGGGGGTGGGAGGAGAGGGAATAGAGAGCTTAGGCACTAAAATTTACCAAATAGGTTTGATAAGGTATTACGGACAATTAGCCGGGAAACTGACATACTTAAGAACGCGTCACTATATCGATGCAAATTTGAAGTTATTTGTCTAAATTTTCGGCTTAACAGACGATGATAGAAGAGATTATTATTCCTAGTTGCCATGCCAAATTTATAACAGACTTGTGATGAATTATTGGAATTATACAATTTTAATTTAAAATAGAAACCAATGTTACGTGTTTTACTGCGTTTAATTAAAATAAAAGCTGAATAACAATTGATTTACTTTAAAATGAGCAAATGCTTCTTAGTCATCACGTGAATATTATGAGAATGATTTGTTTAAATAAGATTAGGTCAACTCTTATCCAATTGCGTTGTCAAAATACCTAGCCACAAAATATGACATAAAGATCTGACTAGATTTCATTCCGGCATCAGACTCCTTCAAACCTTTCTCATTAGTGCATTAATCCTTTCGATCGAAAATAGTTAGACAAAATGAGTGCAGCTTTTATTCCTTTCTAAAGAAGCAGATGGCCCAATTTCATTGGAATAAAGTTTGATGCTTCTACATTATACAATCCTCGTGAGTTTCACGGGTTAGCATTTAGCGAAAGTCTACAACAAGTACGTAGACCAATACCACGTCAGAGAGATGAGTGGTTACAACTTCGACCACAAATCAAATCAGAAGCATAAAAAAAGTGTTGCATAGTGATTGACTCCATTTGGAGTAATCATCAGTGTATGAAGCTGAACTAATCAGCAATTTTAAGCATTAGAGCATACCCTAATCCTCTTCTCGCAAACATCATCCAGGGAAGCGGTAACTTCGTCCAAACAAATAACGCTATATCGTGCCTGGCCACGACGGAATAGGGCCCTCGTTAAACAGAGAAGTTGCCTTTGACCTGAGGAAAGATTTTGACCGCCTTCTCCTACTTCACTATCCAAAAACGCAAGTGCCTCGGCAGCTTCACCCACTAAACCACAGCGCAATAATAAATCCGTCAACTCCTCATTGGTATAAGAACTGAAAATAAATCAACATTTCTACTAAATGAAATTCAGTAGGAAATAATTTTTATAGACAAGAGTGGCTTACTTATCGTAGTCAAGATTTTCGCGAACAGTACCAGAAAAGAGAAAAGGATTTTGGGGGACACACAACATCCTTGATCTTAATATACGTAAAGGCACCTTGCGGATATCAACATTGTCAACTTCAACCTGGAAAAGTGAGAATGCAGGAGAGTGAAATAAACAGTAAATAGTAATGATGTGATTAACTGACAACCAACCGTTCCAGTGGCACCGCGGAATTTCTTGACCTTAGCTATGTGCAGATTGCTGACGGGTCCTTCCATGTGGGGAACCAGACGGAAAAGAACACGAATCAGGGAGGATTTGCCAGATCCTGTTCGTCCGACAATGCCGATGTGTTCTCCAGATTCTACGTTTAGGTTTATGTCGGTTAATGCCAACTTTTCCTCAGGCACGAGAGAATCTCCTACTGTTACTGTAGAATTAGCATTCTATTGAGTTAAATATATGAATTTAAGCAAAAGTGGAAGTACTCAGTGTATCAGCACATTCGCTTCATAAAATCAAAACCTTAAATCAGAAAAAAATAAGCAATTGGCATTATTCGAAAAAACCTCCACTTATCAAATGACTAGAAGTGCATGATTCAATGTAACTAATCAACCTCTCGACTTTAACTGTGACAAGAAAGGAAGATGAATTACTGGGCGCCATTCTTTAAAAAATTGAAAGTCACCACTTCTAGGTCCCTTTCCTCAAGTTCATTAAAAAAGCTCTTTGAAGTCAACTAGCTGTTCTCAACAAAAGACAGAGAAGGGATATCTCACCAATTTCATATTTAATCTTATAATTAAATAATAATCGTCTATTCATTTAGTAGTATCAATTATCGATGAAGTCCAAAGTAAACATATGGCTAATAAATTATTTTAATCTCCTTTCTATAAAGATAAGTTTTGTTATATTCATGTTCTGGAACATTGTAAACTAATGGCTTGCGTTACATTATTTTAAAGAGGCACTAGTCTAGCCGACTTGAGGCATATTATTTCTATTGATAGAATGGGAAATTGAATTACCGTAATATATATATATATATATATATATATATATATATATATATTCCGTTATATATATATATATATATATATATATATATATATATATAACGGAATAAAGAGTTTACTAAGAAATATAGATTCAGGTAGTCGGAGATATGCAATAATGTTATTAAAGTTACAGAGTACCCTTTCAGTAGAGGCGATCTCAGAGGGATAGACGAGATTGACCCCTTTGAAAACAATTCGTCCCTGTGAAGGCCATGCGGCTTCCACTTCCTGACACGTGGAAACCATTCGACTCATGAAAAGAGCTTGAGGATCCGAAACTTGATTACGGGGTCTCGGTGCCTTAAAAATGATAAAGTTAAAAGACGTGGGTTTGGGGTTTTTCCCATTGATATTGCTTTTAATGGTATTAAGCTCAATGAGAGAGAGAGCTGAAACCTGTTTTACAGTAGAACCTTCCTCAGACCACCACACTCCTAACAATGACATACTTGTGTGTGTGTGTGTGTGCGTGAAGTCATGTGTCTCGATCTAGTCTCGCCAAAATTTATTACTTCAACGTTGAAAAAGAGAAAAAATGAAAAGTGCCAAGAGATCAGCAACGAATTCTAACCTACGGCTTTTCTTTTCCCAACCAACAAAAGAAATGAGGTAGATGTGCGTGAAAATTAACACGTAGGATAGCATTCAGACATAATTTCATTGTCGGTAGTGAAGTTTTCACGATCTGGTCAACCTCCACACCAGTTGCAGCAAGTGAAATATTTAAAATAGCTAAGTGGAGGTCACTAAGGTAAATAGATGATTTCTATCATAGTAAAACCAATGAATCTAGCTTGGGGTGTGCGATTGACTTACCTCCACGTGGTGCACCCTGGACAACGTTTACTCATACGGCAAAAAAGTCTATTGACTGGCAGTTGACTTCTCACTTCAAACTACCGTCACCCTCTATGCCATATTCGACTATTTTCACAGTACTCACCTCACCTTTAAAACACTCTTTTGTCCCCCCCTCCCTCTCGAATTTTTTCAATTTGATGTTCCTTCCCCTCTGTGAAGCCTGAAGTCAACTAAAGGGCTAATGATAACCAACAAGACGCCTGCCATTTGATATAAATAAATAAATGAATCTAGCTTAATCACATTGTATAATATTTGATACGTGCCAAACGTCTTCAATTGAATGA